CTACAGAAAACACCATACAAGGAAAGATTCATTGCCGGATCTTCTAATTATTCAACTAAAGGATTGTCTAAAACATTAACTACAATACTGTCTGCCATTAAAGAAGGAATTCAAAAGTACTGTCACACTGTCTTCTCCAGAAGTGGCGTAAATCACATGTGGATATTGCACAATTCTAAAGAACTTTTGGGAAAACTAGATCGAGATCTTTATCTGAAATAAAGTATATTAAAACATTCGACTTTTCCACGTTATATACTACAATACCACGTGGTAAATTTAAATCACAATTGATAGATATTGTTCATCAAGCATTTTTTCATGAGAATGGTTCTCGGCGATATAAATATATTGTTCTAAACTACAATTCCACTTATTTCGTCAAGAATGAAACAAATGCCACAACTGTTTAGAGTGAAGAAGACATTGTCCTTATGTTTGAATTTTTGATAGATAATATATTTGTTAAGTTTGGACGACATATATTTCAACAAATTATCGGTATTCCAATGGGAAACAACTGTGCCCCCTTGCTGGCCGAATTGTTTTTATTCTCGTATGAGACCGAGTTTCTTCAGAAATTTGTTAGGAGCAAACCATTTAAAGAAAATAAATCTTTAATGTTACATTTAGATATATTGATGATGTCCTTTCCATCACTTTTGTGATTCGCTCCCATTGATATATCCCACAGAACTAGACATTAAAGAAAATACAGAATCAACTTCCTCGGCTTCATACCTTGACATTTACCTCGAATTTGACAACAATGGTCATCTTTCTACCAGACTTTAACAAAAGACATGATATCAATTTCACTATCATCAATTTTCCAAACCTTAACAGCAATATACCTGTTTCCCCCGCTGATGGCGTTTACATATCTCAGCTTATCCGTTATGGCAGAGCATGTAGTATGTATTATGATTTTTTACAACGACATCGTCTTCTCTGTTTTAAACTATGCAGTCAAGGGTTTATAAGAGAAATACTGATCTTGTCATTTAAAAATGTTCTATGGCAAGTATCATCAGCTGGTGAAGTGTTTTTCAAGTTCTTGAGGGGTGCCAAATTTGAACTCAAACAATTAACTGTTTCGTGTTTAGTCAGAATATACATGACACGCATCGTTATCCCAGATCGTGTTGAATTGTTTCAGACAGACTCAAGGCCATTCAGAAACTCACAGTCAAAATATTCATACTAGATCAAACTTATGTATGTGCTCTCTCGGGAAGTTGGAGCATCAGGTGAATATACAGTTGAAGACTGTCAGACTCTCAGTACTATGGTTCGCCCTCAATGACTCACAGAAGTTTTATTTTAACAGCTACCTACTAGTGATCACACATTGGTGGCAAGGAGCCTGTTGAGGACAGGAGCAGGGGTGTGTACAGTAAAGTATGGAATAGGTACAAACAGTCCTTATTACATTGCTTCTGAGATACGACCAAGGATAAGTACAAGGAGGTTCACCCAAGCAAGCAAAACATAGGCGTAGAGTGAAAAGTGACACGTGGTTGATATTGATTCAATCATATAATTTTACAATAGTAAATATATGGATATTATAACAAAAACATTTGTGAGCACTATTTTACTAATAGCTCACTGCATAATATTTGTTTCAGACATGAAGGAAAATGTGAAAGCAATAGGCCTGCTAATGGTTCTATATTCAACAAATGTGACTCATACGCTAGCACCCAACCAAGGTTAGTTATCCCGATTTTGTTTAATATTGTGAAATGTTACATAACAACATAAAAAAGTCGTGTATCATAAAAGTACTATATCAGGCTTGAATAGGTGTACTCAACGAATCACCGACTGATCCGTTCTTACAATGATGAACTATCTTTTTAAA